AATATTCACATTAGGCGCAAAAACACTCATAAAATTGACATCGATTTCATTCTAATTGTAAACTACAGTTTTCAAGGCTGTTAACCAAGGTTGGTAGCAAGACTTTATTGGACGAAAAGCCAACGTTTCGGCGGTTCGTCCGGCTTCTTCAGGGCTTCCTGAAAGATCGAGACTTTGAGAACTGCCCGCCCAAACACCGTGTTTGGCAATGGATTTAGTTTGACTATGTGATGGAGTGGCAGAGTAGATGTTCAAAGCATGACCTCAGCCTTGTCAGATCGGGATGTAGAGACCGAACGACCAGTACTGCGCTGCAGCTGTGCTATGAGTGAGTATGACAGTTAGTGTCAACAATGCCCTTTATGTGGTCATGAAAGATCTCGTATCAGAATCGATATAGCGTTTGATAAGAGAACAGTTTACTGTTTATGGTAATGCCTTCATCTTTGCGATTCATTTTTGGTGATGGATGCTATCCAAAAGGCATCCAACGTTGTGCGGGCTATTAACTCGGACTCGTGCGACAAGATCGCTACAGTGACTTGAAAGCACTGATTCTCATGACAGAAACTTCGATGTGCACCCAAAGGTGTGGACATTTTAGATTTTCTAAGGCCGTCAAGATGTTGTTTAATTCTTGTGCCCAAGGGTCTGCCAGTCTCTCCTATGTACTGGTCACTGCATTTTTGACAGGTTATGAGATATACCACTCCCATTTTCATGCAGTCGCCTGCTTTTCGACGGGCAGATGACACAATCAGCGGTCATGAGGAATCTGTCATATGCTCGACTGCGGCTAAGTTGTCGATTGCTCGATTTCCATTCTTATGGATCACATACCGTTTTCGGCTGCGCTCTATCGCGTGTACCAACAGCTTTTTGAGTTTCTTCCAAAAAATCCAGAAACTTTCAAAATTTGGGGTGTTTGTATGATTATGAACCGCACTGTAGTCCAATAAATCCTGCTACAAATAAACATTGAACTATAGAATTATGAGCCAACCAGAATCTCCTTTGTCCCATTCCTCGCTTCCAGTGGTTGTGCTTTCAGCAACTGTTGCTTAAACAAAAGAAGACGAACTGAGCCTAATCACTTTTACATATACTGCGAGACTTTTACTATTGAACTGCATATAATGTGATCCCTAAAATGTTCGAAAATGACAATCTTACTTGGGTAGTCCTTTTCGCTAATGGCCCGCAAGGGTTATTCGATATGCTAATTGCCAGACTAATGCTCTTACGCTTCTAAGGAACTTCACTGTGTTACTGACCTATACGATGATAGGCTAATACATTGTTGTGCTAGTACTTTGCATGATGGGCCTATTTGACATTGTTAGCGTCATGTTGTCGCTAACATCGGAACCACCTCGAAAACGACCCCCCCCCCTTCCAGACTCTCAACACGACCCCCTCCTCCCTCTCCCAGATGTGGCATACCACTCCTCACGCTTGACCCTCTAAATAACTCTCTTGTAATAAAGCCTTTCGAGAATCTTCAGCTACCGATCTGTAGAGCTAGCTTCAACTTAGATTTATAGTATAGTGCAAATGTAGAATTACGGTGTTACAGAAATTTCAAAAAGTGAACTTATGTGATAATCTTTACTTTCTGAAATTCTTGAAACGGCAGCTTTTTCCACATTGACACCATATCCTTCAAGCATATGGTGTCAATATGAAAAAATCAAGGATTTTCAAAATGAGAACTTTTGTAATAGGGTGTTCATGGACGCTTGATAACTATGTACAAGATTGCAAGCTTTGGTGTAACCGCATTTCTTAGGAACATTGAAGAACGGACGCTACTGCTTGCCTCAATTAACTTATCAATGAAGCATTATGATAAGTTGCGAACTTCACATTCAGACTTAGCTGCTCTAATTAGCCTAGTGTGAGAGTTTTCAGGTTGTTTCGTTTCTTTTCTGATTCAAAATGATGTAGCCTTTCATGAGTCAAATCTCTCCTCAAATTTCTTACAGTAATCCTAGAAATGAAGAGCACTCGGTAATCCGTCTCATATAATAGATCTAAATTGAAGCCACATCTACAAAACGGTACCTAAAGCTCCTCAAAAGATTTCATTACAAGAGAGTTATTAACATTCAAATAGTAGGCACATCTCAGACACCCTGTATATTTGCGAGATATCAGGAATGGAAAATGTCGTATTTTCAGAAGACCAGCTGTGCGATCTTATAAAGAACAGAAGAAGAATTGTGAAATTGTTTTCAATGTGATAACGGTCGTGTAGTAATGAAATTGCGTCAACGTGTTAAAGTCACGCAATAATCATTATGCTTTGTGATAAACGGCTTTAAATTAAATCTGTTATAAAGAGACTTTAATACGGAGATGAATAGATGCGAATGTATTTATCTTGTATTAAAACGTTCGTTCTTTTCGTACATGCGCCACATCCAGCAAACGGAGACTGATGAAAGATTCTGGATGCATCCGAGTCAGCTTTCTTACTCTTCCATCGCAGTCAAAGAACTCTTGATAAATTAAAGCCTGCAACCCATGCTTTTTGCCATGATCAAGTTTTGAAATCAATCTAACTCTTCATACTGCTTCCAGATGGATCTCAAGTAACAGATGGACAGAGCAAACCCAATAGGACGATTCCTCCTATTTTCGTTCGAAATTATGATTATCTTGCGATCCCGCTTTGTGAGGCGAAAGCTGTCTATCTTATGAACCTCCCTCTTCCTTTCGACCAAGTCCCCGAAATCACAAAAGAGATGAACTGGCGCATAAGGCCCTGCGTGACTGCTATCACGACAGGGCAAACAAAAACCGTTCCTGACATAGCAAAAATGACCACTGTAGTATGAGAGACTTCAAAGACACAGGGGGGGGGGGGGCACAGGAGTTCCAGCACCCCCGAAGCAATGGTTAGCACAAACATGCACGCTCAAGAAGGTGTAAGCTCCGCTCATCCCTCCACGCCTCTGCTAGTTTTTCAGTGAGCTGCGTGATTAGACGAGCATAAGCGGTGGCGAAAATTGAATTCGGAACCCAATATTTTTGCGAAGATGAGACGTGGATTGTTTAAAACAGTGTCCCGGCAAATTTTGCTTTTCGACCTCTTTGCATCTTTGGGTCTTCTTACATTGAACCCGGATCCAAATTTCATCGGGTGACACGACCGTTACCAATGCGTTTCCACAATTTTTGAAAGGAGCTCGGTCGAGAGTTTCAATGGAATGTTGGGAGGCCCTGACAAAGTCCCTGTCGCCTGTAATCTCTGTTCTAAATGGCATGCCAGTGAAAAGCGGCTGTGGTTCTTGCGCGATTTTACGAGCGCGCCAATTCGAGGGCCGTTTTCTCAAGACGGAGGTAACATCATGCAGCCAGGTAGAGCCCGAAGGTTAATAGGGCGACCAAAAATCCCACCACACTTATATCCCGCCAGACTAGCATCTGCCGGGGCACTGCCTTTAATATAGTGTAGAGGCTGCCTTGAATGTGTTGACTGCATTGCTCTATCCTCTTACGTCGTGCTATCGAGCTTTGCCAATTCCACTCCGACTTCCTCTTTCTCCATTTGTGGCCTCCAATGAGAAACGCCAACGGTAGCGTTGCTTCAACGCTGCTAACGGTGTTACTCCAGCAACACTTACCATTTTGTCGCCGCATGGTCAAAACATTGAAATATGCTTACGCAAAAAGGCGGCTAGCCTTTAGGAACTCCTGAATAGCCTCCTAGAAACAGCTCAAGCAATTTTGAACGAGGACGGGATTGGAAGAATGACGAAGAAAGTCACATAGGAAAACTCGGAATAAAAAAAGAGAAAAGTACTATTTAACATGAGTATTGATTTCAGGGTACAACTTTTTTCTTGATTGAGGGAGAGCTGCCAACTTACTGCCCGCCCAAATTGGGCATTCCATTTGCAATACATTGCCACTTCCTGAAAACTTGTGTTAAGGGGAAGGGTAAGTATCCACCTAAAGTTTTGACTGCCACCCTTTTGTCTAGCTGACACGATAGTGTTTTTTGTGCTACCCACTAATGTGATAAGTCATGTTTTTAGAGAGTTCGCTGAATGAGTACGGGTTATTTTATAACATCGTGAACTCTAAGCAGGCGGTCACTTCCCTATTACAACTGTATCATGAGTGAAAGCCCTAATGGGTATGTCAACCATATTACATACTGTCATCAACAATTTCACTTTGGTAGAGGAGCACCCGGCCCTCCTGTCATGGATGGCACATTATTTGTTGAGAGAAGACCAACTTACGGAGAATTTAGCACCTTAGTAATGTTCGCCCTGGTAAGGTATTACAATGGGTGTTTGAGTGCGGTTACCACATGTGAATTCAGTTCGTGGCCGTCTTTTTGGCAATGGTTGCCTTGCTTTACGTCATTCGTTGGGTATGTGAGCGGATGGTCGTTGACAGAGGTGTCGCAACTGTAAGTTCTACGTAAAAAGGTTATCCGCAATTAGCTGTAAGCTGCTTTTGTAGGAGGGTTCCGAAGTAATAGAAGAGGAATCCAGTTCTCAGACTGAACCAGCCGATGAGAAGGAAATGAGCGAATTGGTCTCTGATAGGTGGTACACTGAAATAAAGACTGCCATCCTTCTGTTTCACAGAAGAATTACAGCGAAAGCGCTAAACGTTGCTATCCTTCGACTGAAAAAATGGTGGAACTTTTGGTGCCAAAAATAACGGAGATAAAGAAGGAGGTAAAGATTTTGCGCAAGACTTATCGATAACAAAAATATCTTCTTTTCATTATACGTCTGCGGACCGCAGATTCCTAGAGCAAACGAGCCATAACTTTGCAGAAAGTTCAGTTACGGATCTGAATCTGTGTGGCATGCGATTTTTGAAAGAGCTGACATGTATCTGATTGGGAATTGCCTCCAAATGGCGTAGCGTGCGAAAAAGTTTTAATCTACTCAATCTCTGCTTATCTTAGTTCTGGGAGTCGACGCTAGCACCTGTTGCATAAGAATGTGGCCCAAGACCTTGGTTGCAACTTGCTGTACAAATTTCATGACAGACGGATATGTGTACAAATTTCATAACAGACGGACATAGACGGTCTTCGTGTATCATGCTGCAGATAATTGAAAAATATCATAAGTCATAATAAAAACTGTTTGGAAAGTACATCCGTTGGGTTATGTGGTTTCTACCTGAAAGTCCTCCCTTATCAAAGACATTTTTTCCTTTCTTCTCATTGAAAGCTCTGGAGCATATTTTTCTTGGGCCGCATTTGGCACGCGGTCCCAAACCAATAAAAATCTTAGTCGACCGGCACTAGGTTCCGGTGTGATTACTTTAATTTCACGATTATGGGGCAGCTTTTCGATTTTTCAAGCGAGCCGCTCAGCCGCTTTGCTCCTTCGAAAAACGAAACTCATGCAGCAGATGCTCTCATGGAGTAGCTTCACAAAGTGGAAGGCTTCGCCCACATGCTGATTCCCCTCCTTTGAAGCCATGTTGCGCAGTTTTCATGTTCACCATTGTGCTTTTTCACAGCACAGCGAGTAGGCTCAGGCAACACAAAATCATAAGATCGACTTCTTGTCCGGAAACTGCCTTCAAAGGCGTTGCATCACAAGTCTCACATGGACAAAATATGATAGTTTGAATAGACAACAGTGCAAGATCTGTTTGCCAAACAGCGCCCCGTGTCAAATTCATCTCTTCAATCCAGGTAAATAACGCTATGTATTGAAATTTGCTCCTATATTCGAGAAGTGTTTGGTCTCCACGTATAGTGAATGACAGTAAGGACTGCATGGGAATTTTGAGCTTTCAATTAGAAAGGGTGAGTAGCTTCATTCCTGCCTTGAAAGCACCCTTTCAGCGTGTAGCGATGGGAACACTAAGGCCTTGTTCGGGATATTCAGATATAGCTGTGAAGGTAATTTTGTTGGAAGGTTATTCCCTAGTCATGTGAAAGCGATTGCTCTTTTTTAGAACGAGCAAATGTACGTCGGTGGACTATCAAAACGTCTTAGGGAACCACGTGAGTCTGTTGTTACCCTTTGCTATGTAATTTCGGGTCTAACCTTGTCTCTGATCTCGAATTTTCTTACGATTTGTCTAGAGAGCACCTGCTCGAGGTAACAGAAACACTGCCTTTTCTCTAAAATTTATCAGAGAAAGGAAAACTTTTTATTCGAATCTTCTCATGTTTTTGGCGTGCATGACTATTTAAAGGTTTTTCAAAAATGTTTGTATATAACTAGTCCTACCTTGTTGCATTTAAAAAACCAAGTTAAGCATTTTCAGCGAGGTACATATCTACGTTGGAGCCACCCGAAATAAGAAAGGCGGTAAGCTTTTACAAAAGTTTTAAATTTTAGTTCAAAGCGTGATTCATTGCGCATATCTCAGGATCAACTTCGTCAAACCGAAAGCGGAAGTCCTGCTCTTCATACAGGGAAATCGTCATTCAAAGCACCTCCGGAAGACAAGAACACTGCTGCGACACCAGTTTTAATTACTTCAGACAAAACGCCAGCGGAACAAGTTCGTCAGACACAAATACCTCTAAGCGGAACACAGCCTCCCTTAGCATCTCCTGGCATCGTCTCGACGCCTGGCCCTCAGTCTCAAGTTACGCTTCAATCTGCTCCCGCCAGCTCTGATATAGTGATAGTCGGCCAGTCATCTGCTAGGTCGGCTTCAAGCGCAGATGGAATTGATGCTGGTGCACGCGCTGCTACCGGGGTGAAGATTACTGGTGCTACAGTATCAATCAAGCCAATGCGGCGTAAGGGTGTGCGAAAGGCCTCCATAGGAAAAAGAACTGTGCTTCCACAATCGGTGCTGCCAGAAGTGACGACACCGCCGCAGACTGCAAGGGCAGTAACGCCTGTATCCAGCAAGCTTTCGAGGACTACTAATTCATCTACATAAGATACTGAAGATTAACATGACGTAAGTTCGATATTCGATAATTTCATCTTGTAGGGAGGAGCCAGGGATAAGCTGAGATAAGAGAGAAGTTATTTTGATTAAACTCGCAAGCAAACCCTTGGCTTTGAACTTTAAATTTGTCACTTTATGAAATGAATCTGAATCTCATTTCAGCACTGCAATATCAGAAAGAGAAGAAAAAGAATTGTGAAATTGTCTTTAATGTGATAACTTTTGTGAAATAATTATATTGCGTCATTTTGTTGCGTAACGCAAAAGAAACCGTTGGGATTCATAAACGGGTTCGAGTTAGAGGTGTTGATGAAGACACTTTCTAGAAAATCTCCGCAACATGTATGATTTGTCATATACAGATTATGAGTAACAAGAAAGTAATTCCATGTTATTTATAAGTTGCATTAGGGGGACGAGTGGCGTAGTGGTATGAGGGCCTCCATGACCAGATCCGATATAAATGCGATTCCCCCCCCCAGGGCCAACCAAGCCCTCTATCCTTTGGGGCCGGTAAATTGGTATCAGAGTAATTTGGGAGGATAAAACCACTGACTTAGTAAACGGCTGGCCCCCGCAGGTCACTGTAACAGGCTCGTACGCATACAATTGCCTTTTCGAATATGAAGTGGTGTGCGTTCGGCGTATGCCCGCAGAGGGTATTGAAGACGCCGAATCCTTTATCCTTTTATTATGGGAGTAATTCTAATAGGCGAATTACTGGGCCCTTCCATCGAGATTTATGGGTTGATTTACGTACACCAAAGAAAATAAAGGCTCATTAGATATTTGCCCGAGTTACGTTGAACTATAGCGGCACTTCCTACGCTGAATTTGGCAAAGCGACATAAAGCGTACCTCAGTAGGTCCCCGTATGGAATGAAGTATGCGATTACGTTGAAGTGCATAAAATACTTCAGCATCTTTATGGGCGCCGCACTACTTGAAAGTGTTACTTCTATTCCAAAATGTGAAAGTACTGGATCTGCTATTTGAATGTGTTCATTCATACTACCGAGCTCTAACAATTTGATTTTGCTGTAGATTTGACTTACTTCATTGCTGTCAAATCAACTCCAAATTTAGAACAACATTGGGTTCGCAAGCGTGCAGTGTATAGGTCACACAGACTACGACAAGTACAAAGTCTGAACACTGATTAGTCTGCTGACTCAAAAGAAGTGACCCGAACGTGACTGGGTATGCCAGCTAGTTACCGATATGGTTAATAGTCCAGCCAGCTCGAATAGGTATTTGTGCGACGCACGCAGTGACACGCTTGAGCTACCGTGGAGAAGCTTCTCGTTTTAGCTCCTTTTGGGAAAACTTTCTTTCATGTCCGATATTAACCATCCATAATCCCTCTGAGCTATATGTAAGCGTCACGGCAACCAAGGTTGATGGGTTTCACGTGCATCAAGAGCCTTACGAGCCGTCATTGATGAAGGCTTTTTTGCTAAAGGTTGAGCTGTTAGCAATAATTTCCAAGTTTCGCTTTACATAAAGGCTACTGCATGATGAAGGCGCAGAAGCAGTATAAGTTGAGCAGGCGCGAGCGTGACGCACGCGTATCCCCAACATTGTAAATTCGTTGTAAACGCTCTGTGGCTAATAGAGCCGCGTTCGCGCCCAAAGATATTGCGCCTTGGTCATGCAGCAGCCTATAGCTAATTTCGGCTTCAATCTAATTTTTGGTCGCGAAAATTTTTCAAGAGAAACTCGCTTTCGCATCGTTTTTAGGCCTCTGACGGTGAAAGCAAACCTGTACGGCACAGTAAAATCAAAGGTTGTTAGTATTGAGCAATTTTCTTGTTTTCGTAACCGTCATTCAAATCAGTGCTTTATTGCCCATAAGCCATCGGATGAAAAACGAATTAAACATGACGATGATTCTTTTTGAAGATATGTTTGACTGACTGTACTTCAAATTCTTAGCTTGACACTTTCAACATTTATTATCTACTAAAAAAAGTTTCAAGCAAAAAAGCAGGATTTTGAGAAATGAGAATAAATGCCGACTAGTTTACATTTGCATCAGTAATCGTCATCACTGGCATAGATGCGATGACTCTCCTTTTCCAACAGGGAAAGGCATTTTCCCTGACCTAAAAAAGATCTTTGATAAGGTCAAGACATCAAAAAGCAAAACTCACTGATGTAAATAAAATCATCAAAATCCATGGATTACCACAAGTTGCTACTAGTGTGCCTAAAATAAGGACATATGCTACGAATAAAATGTAGTTGTTTCTCAGTTTGAGTTAAAGCAGAGCCCGGCATTAGAGTGGCAAATGTCAAATGGAAATCGCTAAGCGATTTTGCAAAGAAGGTGTTGTAATCACCCTTCATATGCATTACGTAATCCTTAGAGATGTTTAGCCCAGTGAAAATCAGTCCATTTTGCGACCAACGTACACAAACATGGTCGTGCTCAAGACGCCATTTTAAACTAAGTTTTTTTGCACTAGCTAGTAAACAAATGATTCGATTACATGAGATTATACTATTGAATTTGTTATGTAGACGGACAACCGAGGAACAAACTAGAAAAGTAGTGAAATCTTGTTTTCCAAAGCATGCCAATAAGCTTTTTCTAAAACTCCCACTACGGAGAAATGGGCATATGATTGTTTGTAACGCACATGCAACGATATGGCTTCCATTGGTGTGTAATGTGCGCAGTGCAAAATAAAATCAAGATATGAAATTTTATGAAGAACCGATGTGAACAAAAAGCGTTGACTTTTTTCTTCAAATTAGCGTGTGGTATTTGCCTGAGAGTAACAAAATTTCCAGCTCACATAGATTTGTTTCTAATTCTTGTATAAAACTGTTCTACGTGCACCTATGTTTACTATGTGGTACAGACGTACTTTCGAAACTCCTTCTCTTCTTTTCTAGAGTCTGAAATGCCGAGTTGCGGCTCCCTCTCAAAGGTGCTGTCACTCATAGAAAGAATGGGAGATCTTAATGTTGTGTCATAGCACAGCCCTTAATTAACTAACCATCAATTCTTACTACTAAAGGTAAGTCGCGGCGAGAAAATTGCTCCAGAAGGTAAAGCGGTTGAAGTGGCTCCGCCCATCGGCAAAAATTTACAAGTCCAAATGGACTTGAATGTATCTAAAAATGTCATGAATTCGTCCTTCATTATGTTCATCGGGTTCTCGCATTTCTATGCACCTTAAAGGTCAAACTCATCATCTCCAGATCAACAACATTAACGGGCGGAGCCACCTTACTTTTTGAGCGATCTCTCGCCTTGGAAATCATTTTGCAGCTACTCTTGGGCGATTCCTTAGTTAGGAGCCCCGCTGTGATACTCATCAAAATCTGAGCACTTTTTCTGAGTGAATGCTGCTTTTAAAGAAGGAAACGCGCTTCAATTGAAAGACGTGAGCAGTTGGCGATTAAAGGGGAAGTTGTAAAATGCAAAGTACCCTAAAATCCGGCATATAAGAACGGACTTATCTGCAGTTTTGGCAGGAAAATCGATGGAAAAACGCCGCAAAAGGTCTCACAGATAAGTCCGCCTAAATCCTCTCGCAGATACGTCCGTCTGTCCTGAGCATGAGCAAGCGCGACCTAGGAGCACAAACGCACGCGACCGCCCGCGTAGCTTGCCGGTGTAGATTTAAACAAGGCCGCGAAATTGCCTGAAAGGAAGAGCCAAAGTATTCGACAAGCCGTGCAGACTAGTTGCTGACTGTTTCGCCGAGGATTTGTCATCATATACGCTGGATAGGTGAGTTCTTTTCTTAGATATAACATTTCTTGTGTGTTGGAATTGATGACGCGATAGTAAGGTAGGATTTTACCCCATTTTCAGGAATATTAGGCAGGGGAGGTTTATGATATAGGCTAACTACAGTACATGCATCTCCTACAAAGCTTTTTTAGAACGCTGATCGTCGCGCATACTCTGTTCCAGGCAGTAAGTGACAAAGTACAAAGACACAAACGGTTCGTAGTTTTGCAAAACGCTACAGAGAAGTTGTTCTGGATATCACATGTTTCAGCGATTGGAATCAAGCCGTGAACTCCCCTAAAAGAGACCGCCAAAGGATTCGACAAGTCGTGCAGTCTAATTGCTGACAGTTTCGTCGCGGATTGGTCATCACATACGCTGGTGGGTCCTTTTCCTATATAAGACAGTGCTTGTACACATGGAATTTTTCTGTCCGAAAAATCATAATAGGTTTTCTCATTATATCATTGCAATCATCTCATCTTATCATTCATCTTATCGTTTTGGAAGCTACAATGTTTTCAATACATCTCTCGAACCCGTACAGGCTACAACCCTTGAACCTGACTCCTATACTTTTTGCTTCCTCTATTGTTTTCATGTTCTGAACGTAGTCTCTGTTGACCCATGCCATACGGCTTTTGTCAAATGCTTTCTTGAACGGAAGAGTGACAGCCTGAGAATGCTCAACCTTAGCAAAGCATTAGGCTTCCTTGTTCTTTTTCTCATCTGTTGTTTCATTAAGCCTGTACATCCAAGACAAAAGATAGTGTAGTCAAATTTGACGCCGCCTGCTTTTTCTTGTAAAAGAGTAAACCTTTCAATGATCAGCACAAATTTATAGGACTCCGCGTGATTCCAGTAAGCAACGACCGCTAACTCAGCGAAGTTCGCAATCACGCAGAGCCCTATATTTCCAGCATACTCTCACATGCTGTGACTCAAGCTGTTCAGGTATCTCGGATCTCAATGGCTCCCAGAAGGAAGTTCTACACGTCGCTTTTTAAGCTTAACGTGGTGGAATATGCCCTGCAACATGGAACATTGGCTGCCGCTGTTCGCTACGAAGTCTCTGATCGTCTGGTTAGAAGATGGAAGGCCGATAAAGAAAATTTAGAGGATAGGCCACTGAGGCAACGTGCCAACCGCTATGGGAAGCCAAAAGTGGAGGAAGTCGAAGAAGCTCTCCATGAATGGATTGTGCGAGAAGGAAGCCGAACACTTCTTGTCAAGAACATTCGCGAGAAGGCATTGCAGCTAGCGCGGGAATTTGGCCACCAGGACTTCAAGGCATCGCCGATGTGGTGCAGACGCTTCATGAAGAGAAAGAACCTATCTCTGAGGCGAAGAACCAGTGTCGGTCAAGCACTTCCGGAGGATTGCGAGGACATCTGCGCGGACTTCAGGAGATTCGTACTAAGGGAATCGCTTTACATCTCCCCCCACAATCTTGGGAATGTCGATGAAGTCCCAGTGCCCTTCGATATGGTTTATTCAAGGACCGTGGATCAAGTGGGAGACTCAACAGGACATGAAAAGTCGAATTTTACCGTCGTCCTCTCTGCGACGGCCGCTGGAGAGAAATTAAGACCGATGATAATATTCAAGAAAAAGAGGGTTCCAAAGGATAAGTTCCCTCCTGAAGTGATTCTGCGTGCCAACGAAAGAGGCTGGATGAATCACGAACTGATGAAGACATGGTTCCTCGAGGTGTGGAACAAAAGGAAACGCTATGTCAACGATCCCTCCCAGTCATTGCTGATATTGGATTCTGCAAGGTATCGTTTCGTATTTTACCATTTTTGAGCTTATCTTGCTTTTTTAAGGTGCCATCTCACAGAAGACGTCCGAGAGCTTTTCAAGGAGCACTCAAAGGTCGCGGTCATTCCAGGCGGAATGACCAAATATCTACAGCCTCTCGACGTCGGCATCAGCAAGCCCTTCAAAGACAATCTGAGGGCGGGATGGGAGCGATGGATGGCCGATTCAGCACGAGACACAACAGGCGGCGCCAGGAAAAGGATGACCTACGGCGAAGTAGCAGCACTAGTCTACGAGAGTTTCAATGCGATTACTGAAGAGACCATTGCGAACAGTTTTACTAGGGCTCTCGATGACGAATCAATGATCAATGCCATGAAAGAGGATTTCGACGCTTTGGTTGTTGCTGATGATAACGCTGATGATGATCAGGGTAAAGCGGGGGGTGCGGCACGCCGCAGAGGGGGGGTCGTATTGAGGAGTCAAAAGGGGAGGGGGTCGTAGTTAGGTGATCTGGTTATAGCGATAACATGATATTCGTATCATATCCATAATTAGCACGTCAATTAACCCCTGTAGACAAAGTGTGAGCGAATTCTGAAGATTCAAGATACTAGGCTACCTAAGTGAAATGGTCAAATTCCAACATGGTTAACTTTGTTTTAAAGGTGAATTAGCTATCCGTTTTTGCACTCAAGACAAAGCACTACTCCTTCTTTGTCCACCTCAGGAATCCCGCTTCAGAAGACCTCCAAACTGTGGAATTAGAAGCCAACCAAAATCTCATTTTTCCCATTTTTCGCTTTTGATGGCTGTGCTTTCACCAAATATTACTCAGAGCTAAGAAGACGAATCAGGCTCAAAACATCCCTATGGAATCTACGAGGTTTAGGCTATCGATTCATATAAATATTGTCCGCTAAAAATGTTTTTTTGATATAGTTAATGGCCTGCGGCACCCCTGCGGCACCCCTGCGGCAGCCGCAGGTTTTGAGGGGGGGTGCCGCATGCCATTAACTATATCAAAAAAACATTTTTAGCAGACAATATTTATATGAATCGATAGCATAAACCTCGTAGATTCCATAGGGATGTTTTGAGCCTGATTCGTCTTCTTAGCTCTGAGTAATATTTGGTGAAAGCACAGCCATCAAAAGCGAAAAATGGGAAAAATGAGATTTTGGTTGGCTTCTAATTCCACAGTTTGGAGGTCTTCTGAAGCGGGATTCCTGAGGTGGACAAAGAAGGAGTAGTGCTTTGTCTTGAGTGCAAAAACGGATAGCTGATTCACCTTTAAAACAAAGTTAACCGTGTTGGAATTTGACCATTTCACTTAGGTAGCCTAGTATCTTGAATCTTCAGAATTCGCTCACACTTTGTCTACAGGGGGTATTTGACATGCTAATTATGGATATGTTGTCCATTATGTTTGACAGAGCCTTCAGGTAATACTATCTTAAGTGTATAGTTTAGGAGGGGGGTCTTATTAAGACAGCAATCAGGGGGGGGGTCGTATCCGACGGTCGAGTGCCGCACCCCCCGCTTTACCCTGATGATGATCGTTCTTTTGATTTTGATGATGATAAACATGGAATGCTACCTGAATAAAGATCTGTTGCTTCGGTTCATTCTGAGACCAAAAAAGGCAGCGCAATTGCGCATCCTTCTTGTTTTCATGTGAAAAAAATAAGGCGGACTTATCCGCGGGACTTGGCGGCGCGCGAGGCGCGCGAGGCTGTCACGAAAGCGGACTTAACTGAGAGCTCTTTTGCGGTCTTATCGGCGAGGCGGTCTTTACTGCGAGGCGATCTTATATGCCGGATTTTAGGGTAGCAAATGCGTTATGTTTCACAGGGGTTTATTTGCTACCCTCGTGCCGGACCGTGAGTCAAGGTCTAATATTTGTGACAACTATGTAGCTTCTACGCACACTTACGCCTACCTACTCTTGTTAACAGAAAATAGACGGTATAAGGAATGAGGTCGTATCCACCTGCGCGGTAGGATATATGATTTGCTATCCTGACCAATAACGATAAGAAGGCTCCTAAAAATATACTCATTAGCAACTATTATAATTAATTTTTTAACATATATTCACCAAAAGAAATTATCGCAGACGTCAAGCACATTCGCATTGCTGTTGATCGCGTCAGACCCTAAGAAAAAAAGCGACACTATTTTCTTTTTTGGAAGCGCTAGGATGCTGATCTTACTGTTTGAGATCCTCTAATGATCGTAGCGACTTTCCAATAGCAAAATATGCAACATATCAAAGAACCAGTTGCTACAATAAATGGGACAAATATCGACACAGTAACCCAATCCAAGCTGCTTTTTGAGAATAGAAAACGTGCACTCGTTTTTTCGGCATCCAAGCTGGTCTGGATATGCAAAGATACAGCTTTCGAAAGCTTTTCCCTTTTTTTATTTTGTCTCAATTTTTTGGGAATGCGCAAATAACATCTCATCTATAGGATCAGATGCGTAATTTTTTTTTTGAAACTTCTACAAACGGTCTCCGTGCCTAGTCTTTGTGCATTTAATTACCGCAAAATAATCAAGGAACAGTCAAAAATGACAACAATGTGATCATGTTTAGAAAAATGCCAAATGATGATAGCATACATTTTCGTGAGAAGCGCTCAAATAATTTCACATTTTTCTCCCCTTCCTTTTAGGTTTTTGTTTTTCTCTCCAATAAGAAGTAGGAGTTCAACTGAGACTGCTTAAAAGGTCTTAAGCACTGCTATGCTCTTACCTGCCCTCCTCCAGCTTCTCGCACCCTCCTGAGTTTGACTCGAATTTCCACAAAAACGATCAGGAATCACAGAATTTCAAAAAGCATGTGGAGCGCAAAATGTCTAGGCGGCGTAAAGGCTATTGCCGAACGAAGGCGCAAAAATAAGATTAGTGGGGCAGCGAAGATAGGGCGCGAACGCTGCGCGCGCGTATCTTCACCGTTATGAACCTCGCGCTTCATGCGCTCTGTGGCTAATAAAGCCGCATTTGCGTATTAAGTTTTGTCAAATAGCATTCAACCGTAGGTTGCCACCATTAAAGGGTGTTAAGTTCAAGTTTTGGTCTACAGAATTTATCTATAAACAATCTTAGACTCGTGTTGCTTTTTTAATTGTTCTTATGCCCTGCTGGAATCGTGGCAATTTCTTGACAGTTCTTCTCTCAAAAGTTGGAAGAAAACGAATGAAATCCTCTTTATAGAAACTTACTACAAAATCACTAAGGAAATAGACTGAGGCATAAGCAGCACTGATAACAACCATTACAAGGAGCCATTGATTGATTTTGCGAATCTCCCAGTAGTTAGTGGATAAACTACTTCTTATAAATGTCAGATATCGGGTGGCAGCAATGTATGCTTCGCAGATAATTACTAAGAGTTCACAACCAAAAGCCAGCATAAAATAAATTCTAAAGAAGTTAAGCAACTTAAAATGGAGAAATTGCATGTCACTATACTATACTATACCATACTGCACTATACCTTGCTCCGGTTGGACCCAAATTGTAGAAAAAAGGTTGCCAGATTAGACTGGGCAACATTTGAAAAAATACTGTGTTTAAGATAATGAGTAGGTCAACAAAGCCTGAAATAAACCCTCATGTAAACTTTGTCACAGTTTTACTCGCTAAAATGAGCAATCTAAGAATTGACGGAAACATCCTTTCTTGACTTACTTTCTACTTATAAAGTGTGTAACTCAAAGTTGGTTATCATTCCTCCGTTGCCCTAGCAATGTAAGGCGAGAGGGGTTATATATTGCTTTTACTTTCTAAGCCCTTAAGCACATCTATTTCGAAAATTTTTCCACACATTAGCATTAGAACGTAAAACGTAAAGCGGGACCGTTGAACGGATAATTTTGGATGCACAAAAAGTACTTTTTTAATTCTTCGATTTTCAGCCTTCTAGCCCTCCAAGTTCCCTAGTCCTTCTCTCCTGCACCTCACACAGCCTTGCAGTAGTAGGGACTCACTTTCTGCCCATCTAACTGTCAGTTAGGATCACCGCATACTGCTAACCAAAAGATGGAAATCAGCTTTACCACTCTTTCATTAATATGACTTTGAAAAATTGATTCGATGCTGTGGGTAAGCTTTTGATTTTTCAGATGCTAAGAAACAAAGCAATAATTTCATGAAAGCGCTGAGCAAATTGCCGCGAAAAGTAGCCTAAAATGTGCGCAGGGGTTGAAAACATACGTGCAAAGTTTTTGTATGTTTTTACAAAGGAACCTCTATGTGACGTACGTCATGTGAAGAAATTGCGCGACATAGGAGTAAAGTTAGAAGCATTTTTCATGTAAGCAATGCCTTCTCTCAATTCTCCAGAATATGTAACGATTATTTGAATGGCAAATTACGCTTATGTAATGTGATATGCAAGCAAATAAATAAAAGTCAATCTACCAAGATTTAGTTTTGAAAGTTACAACTGCAAGAGGCATGCAGGTTCTGCTCTAAATAGGTCATTGAAATTTCTGCAAAGCTAAGCTACACTCTTTAGTTTATGAGCCATTAAAAAAAGCATCACCTACTGCATAACTTGTTCAAATTGCTACAAAACGGGAAGTGAAAAAATTTTCTTCCGGAAAATAAACTTTTAATGACTAGAACGCGCTTACCGCAGAAGTAGAGAATGTACAAATAACTTGTCAATCTCTCCTTCGTTCCTTTCTTTATCATACGATACAGTACCGCTTGACAATGGATATACAGCAAAACGCTGGCGAATATCAGTAAGTTTACTACATACTCGATTACGGTCACAACGTTGACCATAGCGATGTCTGAAAAAAACAATGCTGTTTTTGAGATGAGACAGGTGAACGATTCTAAGAGGACAAAGCGAAATGCAGGGCGGACGTCCATTGATACTAGGCCACTTCGGGGACAATATTGCTCAAATACTCCCGAATGAGTCACTTTGTGAAAACTTTTATTTACGCTTTCTTTCATAGTGGTTAACATCGAATCAAAATGTTGTAATCGAAACCTGAAGGCTGTAATCGAAACACAGTATGTATACGGAATAGTGAAGTTAGTGTGAAATCAAAAGTTTCTAGAATCTGCGATGTTGCCTCTATAACTTACATACCCTAATTTCACGCGTATAAGGCGCGGGGGATTTTTTTTTTCCAAAATCGACCAGCCCAGACAAGCCAAAGGACTTTATAACCAAAGGACCCTATAACGTGCTGTATACTGCTTGAGAGAATCGTGCGATGTAAGGATTTCTTTCCAGAATACAGTGAAGCGGCTGAGCGGCTCGCTTGAAAATTAGAAAAAGTGCGCCTTATACGTGAAATTAGGGTATTAATTTTCAAAGAGGACATTTGGTAAAATTTCTCTGTTGCATATCACTCCAATGTCAGACTACTGTTATACAATACAGAGTGATTCTATACATTACGCACCGCCATATCTATATATCTATATATATATAAAACTCAAAAATTGTCAGTTTGGAGGGTATGTGCGTTATAGAAACGCGCACCGCTCAACCGATTCAGCTGAAACTTTGCACACATATGTTTTCGACCCCTGCGCAGATGATAGGCTACTTTTCGCAGCGATTCGTTGGGTCCTTCTATTGATTTATTGATTTGTTTACGTTTTTCTAAGGAATTGAGGGCTTATCATGTTTAATCAAGCATTTTACCATAGTCTGTAAAGAAGGGCGGTGAAGCTCATTCTCGCATCAGGATCACGAGGATGCGGTTTCGAAGCGGGTTCCAGGGTAAGTCATCCACAACATATAAGAAGGGGGGGGTACTTGCAGTATGCAGGTGACCAATGACCCGGGTTGGACCGGGAGAGCCAACTAGTATATATATAAAACTCAAAAATTGTCAGTTTGGAGGGTATGTGCGTTATAGAAACGCGCGCCACTCAACCGATTTAGCTGAAACTTTGCAAACATATGTTTTCGACCCTTGCGCAAATGATAGGCTACTTTTTGCGGCGATTCGTTGGGTTCTTCTATCGATTTATTGATTTGTTTACATTTTTCTAAGGAATTAAATGGTTATCATCAATCAAGCATTTTCCATACTCATGTAAAGGAGGGCGGTGAAGCTCATTTTCACCTCAGGATCACGAGGATGCGGTTTCCAAGCGGATGTCCCAGGGTAAGTCATCCAGACCATATAGGGCGGGGAGGGGGGGGGGGGGTTGGGGCTCGCAGTGCGGTTAACCATGGCCCGGGCTGGACCGGGAAAGCCAACTAGTATAATATATTACCAGTGCGTCACCTCTGCTTCGCAGAGGCTCACACCGGCCATTATTCGAAGTATCATGTAAACTTGCGTGCATCATTCCTCAGTCCAGTCACAGTTAAGTATTCTCGATTAAAAATAAACCTTCCCTGTCGTGCTACTCCTAACCTCGAGTCATTTGTAGTTCAATATGTGAGATTGCACACTAAGCCCTATTAGCGACGGCACCCGTATCAGTAACTTCCCAGTGAAACATTTTCTAGCCTGACAATTTGTAGAAATGTGTTCTATGACTAACATATAACCAACTAAAAACAAACAAGGAAACAAGGAGAAATCACTGGAAATGAGCAGGTTCTAGTTTCGCAGTTTGTCAGTTAGCCTGTATAGTGTGCACTACGCATATTGAGTTACAAATGACTCGACGATATATGCGTGAAAGCAATGTAAATTATTCCCCACCGTATTTTTGTAACAGACAAACCTCACACAGCGACAGATTGAGCGACTTGTTATAAGTCCTAGTTGACTTACCCGGCTCCGCCCAGCCCTGTCATTATTATATTCGTAATCAACATGCTCGACTACCCCCCTGTGCCAACTCCCAGCCCTGTAGCTCAAATTTTGCAAAAAATCGATAAAATCGATATCGATCGATGACGAAAAGTAGCCTATAACACCCGCCGGGGCCCGAAGTATATGTGTGCCAAGTTTGGTCCGGATCGGTTCAGAAATGGAATTTTCTATTCGGAACATACGTACACACAGACAGACAAACAGACATTCAGCATTATATATGAGACAGGGTGTCCTGAAAAATTATCGGTGGTGTTACTCCATACCTTATATAAAAGCTGAGTCAACTTTTTGAATAGCAAAGCCTTGAGGATCATTGAGACTATAGAGTGTTTTAGGCTGGTAGTAATCCCCACGATCTGACGGGCAGGGTCTGCTGGAACCAAGATTCCATATTTAGGCCGTCTAAAGCAACAAGAAAAACCCTGAAGGAAGATGCCACGGCGACTTCGGAACCTATATCGCATATTGAGATTTCAGAAACCACTTACATAGAAAAATATTGAGGGGGACAGGAGGTGCCGCTGACAACTGAGCTAACCTGCTAGCATCTTGCCGACAGCTTGTCGAAATTTGCGAGGTGAGAATACCAGCAGATTAGAGGGCACAGGAATTATGTTTTATATCGCGAGAGAAAGTTGCCAGCACCTTGACGTGCCTCACCGCGTGGAGGGTGGTGGCACCTTGCCGACGGCATCTGTGAGAATAGCGCAACATGTCACACAATTTATGTCAAACAAATAATTCAAAAAGTTCTACCTTTCTCCAAAATATTTTCATTTTTCAAGGATTTTCCTTGACAAATCATGGTTCGTATGTAAGAAGAGTCATAAGAATACCACAAAACCATGGCAGGATTGTCTTCTTTTGCCTTCACAATCTCTTTTGAGACAATTCCGTCTTATCCTGTCCATATCTATCTGTGGGTACTGCTTAGCGCGATAGCGTTGGTTCGATGCATGCAAGTTCGAACTCGCGAGATGTCAATGTTTTGCAGAGAGGCGTCGTCAAGATCATTGTGGGGAGAGATAGTGACTGCGGACTAAGATAATGTGAAACAAAGCCTATAACCTGTCTGCGAGCAAACGCCGGATTTGGAAACTTCCCGCGATGTTTGCCAACTTTCCGGCATCTACGCTCTCACTAGTTAGGGTAGATTACAGTAGGTCCTGATGTCAAAGAATGGAACGTTTTTCTTGTGGAAACCCCTGTATATCACATATCAAACCAAAATCTAACCTAACCTTACCACATTAATTCAAAAATTATTCAAAAAGAGGAAATGTTATCGAAAACTATCAACAACTTCTAAGTAAGCACCATATCTCAATGACTGAACTGGAAGAAGAAGATCACTTAAGTTTTGGTAGTTTTAAGCAGACTCGCTAGAAATCCCGAAACTTTCAAAAAGAATCTAAAGCATAAATCTACAAATTTTATTTTGCTCAAGCTCCATGTATTTTTCAGAGCATATGTGTCGAAAAAAGTCCTCGAGGAATTTATGTACTACAGGAAATATTTTTGAATTTTACGTTGTTACTGTTTTGCGACATTACAACAATTCATGAATACGTTTAATAGACAGAATTAAATCAATCGTAAAGAACTTCCTTCAAATATTTTTAGTTTTACTGAGTTTTCAGGTGCTCGACGAGTTCACTTGGACAAAGCTAATTTCTCCCGTTTACTATCTCTGCTCTGCAATTTCTTTCTATTACAGAATCGCAAAGGGAAAAGGTGTTTGAAACA